CATTCCTTAATTGTCCTCACCAGTCTCAACTATTTATTCTGGCACTCAAAAGAAGAACATAACTCCCCTTTGATGATCATGTGTTACATTTTCGTTCGTTCAGCTCGCTTTTCTCAACGTTTTGTGCAAATTTTCAGATGAAACAACAGTTTGAGGAGGCAATGAGAGACCTTAAAATCTCTTGGATACCAAAGTAAGTCAGGTCTATCTTTAGTCAATGCCATTGACTAAAAAAGTCAAATTACCCCCCCTCCCATTTTTTATTTTTCATTTGTTCATTCTTTTCTTTTCACATTTTAGACTTGGTGATGTAACTCTGTATGACGAGCTTGCGGAGCAGTATTCAGATCATTTACCGCTACATGTAGCAAGACTCCATTTCTTAGACAATTCTAAAGTATGACAGATATCAGATGATTTTATGTTTTCATACTCCGTTCTCTCTGTGGATTTTTGCGATATACTGTTTTACCTGATAGATACCTTATAGCTGTGCTTACAGTTGTACAAAACAGGAGCGTGCATGCAACTTATACCAAAAATTTGTGGGTAGAATTTTACTTGCGTCTTTTTTTTTTATCGTTCCCAAAGGATAGACTTCAAAGGCTTCCACAAGTTATAGTTGCAGCGGAAAAAGTCATACAAATGGTAAGAGTGCAGAATGAGTTGATGGAGAGAGACACACGCACAGATAGACAGTCTAAATCCTGCACCAGTAGCCTAGCTTCATTTTCAGCATATAAACACACATGCACAACCCACAATTCCTCTATTCGCTCTGAGTAATAGCTAACACTCGAAATATCAGCTTAAGAAACTCTTCACATTGATGGCCAATTTACATTATCAACTCAGTTGATCCAAAAATTATCTTTTAATACCCCCCTCCGACGCAGCACCACAATTTCCTTAAAAACTTATTCCCTTTACAAATTTCTGACTGTTCTTCTGTAAGTCTGGCCGACTGACTGCTACACTGGCTGACTGACTGACCGACTAACTGTCACACTGATTGAATGACTGACTGACTGTCACACTGACTGACTGACCGACTAACTGTCACACTGATTGACTGACTGACTGTTGGAATCATGTAGGAACCGAATGGCGACTCATTCAATTAGCCGTAAGAGACTGACATGTTTTTTCATCTTATCTCGTTTAGATAGATTTTGTTGAGTTGTCCAGTTATTACGGTATGAAGACCGACACTCGGCCAGACGCCATTATCATCAAGAGGTATTGAGTCTGAACCTAGGATATTTCTATCAGCAATATTTGATACTTTCTGTCCAATTTTATGTTTTGTTTTGAGCGCTTTTCAATTGAGTGTCGTAATTCAAAGCCAAAGTTATCACAAGAGCCAATCAGGAGAAAGTAAATATCTCTGAGAGCCGATGAGAACTCAAAGAGGTAACAATCAAACTGCCTAAAGCGCGGGAAAACGCGGGGGACCAAGTCGTGATTGGTTTTAGTTTTGCATCTGATTGGTTGAAAGAGAGATGCGAGTTTTCAGGACCAATCACAGATCAAAGTAACGCAAAAACAAAGCAATCCCGGATTACTTTCGACTCTCAGTTAACCCTTTCGCTTCCAAGATCTTATCAGTAACTCTCTCTACTGTCTGTCATACAGTTCTTATGATGTTAGTTCGGAGGATTTGGTATTGGATCAACTAAGAATCCCTTAAATTATATTTTTCCTAATTCTCATCTCTTATGTACTTGATTTTGTAAGGATATTGTGAGGAGAAATTCCGTCTTGGTCATTCATGGGAGTTAAAGGGTTAAAATTGCTCTGTGAGCCACTATAATCTTTGATTGGCTAGGGACTGCAATTTTCAATCTGCCAAACCTCCCCGCCTGACGTGTTGCTCAAAATCTGTGTAAAAACTGTGGCAGATCCTTGGTTTAAGAACCTGTTACGATCACAAGTGACGTTAGACAAAGGAAATAGAGCATTCAAAGCAATAGACCGTGGAAAAATAATTGTGGCAAAACAAAGAGAAACTTCACAGGTTCTTACACCAGAGAAAACACGAAAGCGCCGTCAATTGCGGGTTGTCTGCGGCATAGGTTGTGATTTTCAGTGCAACAGATTTTGTTTAAATTGAATTTTTCTCTCCAAAATGTACATATTTATTTGTTACATATCTAGACTTTGATAGTTTTGCAATAATTGTATAAATTCTTGAACTCTCAAAAATGGATATGTGATGATTATAGCCAAGTTGACTATCTATCTTCTCATATCCAACGCGCGCTCGTGGAATAATTGTCTATCATTCTGTTTGGTAATGTAAATTGGCCATCGTTAAGAGCTTCTACGATGGTCAATTTACATGATCAGCTCTGTTGACAAAATCAATTTATCTTGTTTTACCTCCCCCCCACCCACCGACGCAGCAGCACAGTTTTTCAAGAAACTTACCCCCTCTCCCCCCTTTACATTTCTGTATGAACTGTCTCCAAATTATTTGGTAGATCCTTTGTCCAACTAATTGCATGTCACTTTTATGATCCAATAGTGAGAAAGACAGCCAAAAAGCTACATTAATAGACGCTTTGTGTCGTAAGGTAAGTGTTCCCCCTAAGCCAGAGAGAGCTTCGGAGAGAGCTTCTTTTCATTCCTTGTATCAGTTCTATTTAAGGGGTAATGGAGAGCTTGTTACAAGCTAGGAATGGGAGGTAGATGCAAGGGTAATGGCATTGAAGAAGGTAGACCATTATTGCTCGTTTGTTTTGTCTTTCACTCTGCAGTTGCTGTAGTTATAAAGTCTTTTTTATTCAACAACTTGAAAGTTCTGCTTTAATCTTATTTTTTTCTACTTAGGGAATAGCTCTAGCTGACAGGATACTGGAAAAATCTTCAGATAGTAAGGAAACCACAGGTAAAACAACTTCAAATCCTTGCCTTAAACCTCTCAATCCCAAGATCTCAGTAGTAATTCTCTTTTGTGTCTGCCATACAATTCTTGATGTTAGTTTGGAGAATCTGGAATTGGAAAAGCCTTTATATAGGCCCAAGTGGCCCATGGGGCCAACGCTTAACTCCGGTTTCCTTAGCATGAAGCGGCTGCTAGTCCATCGCAGGGTTACCCCCAGCATATTTGCTAGTAACCCATTTGTACACCTGGGCGAAGATGAGCACTGTGAGAGTAAAGTGTCTTGCCTAAGAACACAACACAGTGACCCCGGCCAAGGCTCGAACCCGGACCACTCGATCCGGAGTCGAGCGCACTAACCGTGAGGCCACCGCGCCTCCACTCAATCTGGCATTGGGTCAAGTAATAATCCCGTAATTGGCCCTATTTTCTCTCTCATTCATCTCTGCTTGATATTGTGCGGGGAATTTTTGTTTTGGTCCCTCTTGGGATTTAAAGGGTTAATCTTATCTATTGCAGTGAAGTTTGAACTTGATAAAGTTCGTGTCACGTACTTTTTCCAAATGTCTCTCATTTTAAATCGCTAGACGATGGAGATGCAAGTAGTTCGGATGACCAGGCGGAGACAGAGGAAGCAATCTGTAAGTACAGAATCTGTGAGCAACCATGTTACTACAATGCTTTCCATCATGATTTCAAGTCGTGTGGTTCTCAGTCATGATCATCTGATCTTCTACCCAGTTCCTCAGTGTCCGGCTGGTCAGCCAGCCAGTATAGGGATCTGGGTAATAATTAAAGCGCATTTTTCGGATATCTTTTATTAGGTGTTGCTTGTGGTCAGAATTCAAGTAAAAGTTTCTTGTAATCTTACCGAGGATTGCGCATAACTTAACCTAATTTAAGTCATCGTTTTTAGTAGCCCCTCAAGGAATCCTCAGCTAATTTTCCTGTTTATTAGTAAGAAAGTGCGCTTACACGTATTATTTCTGGAAAATTTATCGCCGATTTTTTTACTTTGCCGTGTTCTCCTTCCGTCAGATGAAAGACTTGATGAGACTTTCAAGGAACTTGTTAAGTGGATTGACGCATCAGACCCTAAGGTTAGTCTTCAAAAGATACATTTTTGTCTTGATCTAAAGGTCGTCGAAAATTGATTGATTTTTTACCTGCATTTTAAAATTGAATCAATTTCAATTCAACGGCTTCTTTTAAGCCATCTTTATCAGTTACGTGCAATTCAAGGCCTCTTCACCGAGCCCGATAACTGGGAAGAATTTTGCCTCAAAGTGAAACAAATAAATTACCTGAAGCGCGGGAAAACGCGAGTGACCAAGTCGTGATTGGTTTTAATCTTGACTCTGATTGGTTAAGAAACTGGCACGAGTTTTCTACACCAATCATGTAGCGAAGTAAAATAAACCAAAGTAATATCAGATTATTGTCTACACTTAATTGAAGATTGTTCTATCGATAGCCCAGCAAGCCCGGAGAACCAGGATCGTATAAAAACAGTTTCTTTCCAAGGGAAAATGTTCTCGTAGGTCTCATACTTGATTCTGACGCGCTTCTTTATGTTCAGGTTCTGCCGTTTTACATTCGCCGCGCGCAGGCAATGAAGCTCTACGGCCTTGCCCTGAAGGCTTCAATGAAACAAAATGGCGATGGCACGCCTAACAGGGTAAACGATGACAGGAACATCCTGGTTAGTAACATCAGCTTTATCTTTCGGTGTCATAGGAGAGTAACATCAGCTCTATCTTTCGATCTCTATTGTCGTTATTGACTTGCAAAGTTTGTTTATTTAGTTTTGTGTGCGATGAACTTTTACGCCGTGTAGTAACCTGTTCCAGCCTGTCACAATGTTGCCATCATAAGTTGTCGTGAGTGAAGGTGCAAAGTTATAACTAGCTAAATTTATTTGGTTTCCCGTTTCTCGCCTTTTTTACGAATTTTTTTCTTTTCCGAATAGCAAGAAAAGTTTTGAAGGGTTTTAATTTTTTGGTGGTTTTTGCGGGCAGTCCTCGATCAGAAAATTCGCAAAGACAAAAAAAAATACGGCAAAATAAAACGCCGCTGTAGTAAAAGAAAAAAAGAAGGGCACGTTCGAAAAGCATCGTATTCGGTCGAAATTTAACCTGCTGTAGAGTAGATGGTAGGCGTAACTGTGAAAATGGAACTGCATTTTAAAATGTACCTGTCGTTTTGAAGACGGGGCCGTAGTTTTCAGCAAAATAACAACAAAAACAATCATTCAACATGCTTTTTCCTTGTTTGTTTTTTAGTTGTTCGAGAAGCTTGGCTGGGAACATTGTGCGCGACTCACCAGAGAGAGTCTTCCGGTGAAGTATCCTGCCTCCTATCAGCCGTTTTAATGAACACTTTTGCTGTAGCTTTTATATCGCTGTTTCATTTTGACAGGTTTAACTGAATTAAATGCACGCGGGCACGTGTAGCACGAAAAGTACTAAATTTACTTACATGATGCACTTCTTTGTATATGGACAGTGCTGTTTAGACCTTTAACTCTTGTTCTCAGATCAAAATATCAATGAATAAGTTGCCAGTTATCGAATCCTTGTGTATGCGCAAAGATTTCAGGAATCGCCACGGGGCAAACATTGGTAGTTGCTAGAAAGAAATATATGGCGATAGGTCTTTTCGACTTCCGAAAAAAAAAACCATTTTGGAGAGAGAGCAACGCTTTTCCGCCGCATTTTCATCACGCGCAAATACAAGGATCCGATTACTGGCAACTCATTCATTCTCTGTACTGTCTGCCATACTTTTTTTACTATTTAAGAAAAGAGAATTTTGTTTTCAATCAATCCGTGTTACGTGGTTGATATGTCTGTGCTCTTATCACTTTTCTACCTGGAAGTATAGTTTAATTTGAAGGAGATATAACATATTGTTCTTTCCTGTGAAAAGGTTAAGTACGCAATTTTCAAATGTTGCCAAGGATATGTAAAACTGCTTGATGAACAGATCGATTCAAAAATGAATCTAATAAAAAAACACGCTGTTGTCACGTTTCGGCCGTTCTTTTTGAAGTGAAAGTTTTGTAATACCGACTTAAGCAAGTGAAAATCCACTCATGAACAAAATGATTTCTCGACGCAGCCATGTGGTTATTTTAAGTGCAAGATGATTAGATTTAACTAGACTACTACTGCCCCAGCTTTTCGGCGAAGTCCGTTGCGCGAATCAGAACATATCGGTAGAAGGAAAAAAAAACATCGATAGTAACGCGCCGTGTGGAATTCTGGGAGTGAGGCGCAAGAAAAGTAGAGTTCGGCGCGTCAATATTTAATTTTTTTTGGCTGATTTTTTTTCTTTTGACTCGCACTACGGACAATAGGAGGGACTTCTAGATTTGAACACCAGAAAAAGTTCGCAGGTGGAGGTGCCTAATAATTATGCCACCTCCCGCAAAACTATCTCAAGTTTAGTCCGTTTGGACATCAAGGTGCATTCTGTTGAACGTAACCAATTTAGGTTGGTGGGTTTTTTGGGTTATTGGGGCAAATTTGTATTTGATTGATCAAGTTGAACTTTTTCAACCAGCACCAAGCAAGGTTAAAATAGTTGAAAAGGTGTGGGTACCCAGCTGTCTTTTCGCGGGCTTTATTGGTTGGTCCTGGGCTCTAGGTTCTTCCAGCCGTTGGAAACGTTCGCTGTAAACAATGAGGAAAACGCCGCAAAACAGACCAATAACGCGTGCGCGTTTGATACGCAGGCTATGGAAAACAAAAGATGTTAAATACAGCAGTCGACCTCACTGGTGTTTATCAGATTCGTTGGCTACAAAGTCCTCTTAACCCTTAAACCCTAAGAGTGACTAGCATCTACTTCCTCCTTACAATATCACCCCAAAATCAAACATAAAGGTTCTTCACGAGCCGAATAAAGATACTGATCACAAACTTAAGAAGCTCTCGACTTTGAAACATATTCTCTTTGCCAACGCCTCAGGAAATGTTTAGAGAACACTGTGGAGAATATGCATACTGGTGTTAGGGTGTAAAGGGTAAGTTCCAAGGAAGAAAGGGTTCTTCTCTCGACTTGGCAGCTCGGATTTGCCTTATCTCTAAAAGATGAAGTGAGTCAATGAGGAAAGACAACAGGAACCAAAAAAACACAAGAAACCTTAATAACTCCGGCAAGAGAACTGACGAAAGGGCCTAAGTGACACTTCGATGTGAGCGAGTCTACAGAAATTCAGAATATTGTAATGGCAGTTCCAACGAGCTACCGTTTCAACCGAAAATAATTGGTAAAGGGAGTTATTGGGAGACCTCAAACGTCCTAAACCGATGGCGGTTAAAACTTCGATCCAGAGAAAACACGATCCGAGGAATGCTGTGAATCCCTTAATTATTTCATTCCCAAGATCTTGTTAGTAGTTCTCCTTACTGTCTGCCATACAAATCTTATAATATTAATTCAGAGAATTTGATATTGGATCAACTAATGTTCCCCTAATTGGTATTTCTCTTCATTCTCATCACTTGTTTTCTCGAAATTGTATCGATAATGTGAGGAGAAATTCTGTCTTGGTCACTCATGGGAGTTAAATCAATGCAATGTTGCAATAGTGACAGGTGTACAACATCATCAGGCGCCCATATAGCAGAACTTATCCACACACCCTTTTACTCCTAAGATCCAAACAAATCGAAATTCTCCAGAGCTTGCCCCTCTGTTGCAATTTCTCGTAACTTGTCTCCTTGAAAGTGTATAGAAATTTTTTTATGAGCATTTATAAATCGAGCAATTCTGAGAGCTGTGCGTGGTGGAAACAACATCTCAAAATTGACTCCAGCTCTAGAGGCCTAGAAAGTGTGGTTTTCTACTAGCTGTGTTAATTCATGGTAATTTTTTTGATTCATTTCCAAAGGTGATGGACGCCTGATTTCTCCCTACAGAAACACACATTGTTAGAGATGCATATGGTTAAATAATGTGTTTTATATCCTAATTTATTTTATATGCCAACATCCGTTAGAACACATGGTGTAATATTTCGTTCATAGGAGGGCTTAAACAGTTCCTAATTTTCTTCTATCAAACCGTGCACCTCTTTCACTCATTCACGCGATGCTCGGTAGTTAACTTAAAGAGAAATTCCACTCACCTCAAACGCACTTAGCAGTGTCCTAAAATCGAGCCGAAAAATCAGTAAGTTTTATCACTTAGAATTACTTTTCCTTTCTCAATTTTCTTTCGTTCCACAGTTAAATCCCACCAGACAATGCAGTATATCTTTGATGGCTTCTCTTCGACTTCGCAATTGAAGGCAATACAGTCACAGTCAGGTGTGAATTGATTACATGACAAAGTTTTATTTATGCAAAAAGAAAAAAAAAATAAAATAAAATAAAACCTGGATTGTCAATATTTGCCGTAAACTGGCAAAATTTGTGTACGATAATCAAATTGCGTAACGAGACAGGAAAGAATCAAAGAAAAACGGAGTGCAAATCCGAAAATTAGCCACACAGTATTCTCTTAGCTTGCTTTTTTAAAAGCCGATTCACCGCGACCCTTTGTTTTTCTAATTTCCTTTGTATTGTTATCGCCAATATACCGCACATCTTTCACCTAAGCTCTGTTTTGCAGCTTTTTTTACTTAAATTTGCTTCAAGCAATTATTTTCTCATGCTTACTCGTGCATGTAATAGAGAACGAAATTCAAAGGTAACAGACAACCTCTCTTCCGTCGGAGGATTAACATCACAATAAATGTTTATCAAGGATAAGTTTATTTCTTATTCAAAACTGGTTCTTTTCTAGATCTTCTTTGCATTTATGTCCTGGGCAAATATTTTTCTCACTCTCTGAGGGTATGAGAATATCGGTGTAAGAGGTCTTGTATTTATTATTTCTCAAAAGATGGGAGAAGAATTTTAATGATATAAGTAGTATATTTTAGCATTGCTGATCATTGTTTTTGAACGAAGGGCTGAAAAGGTGGATTTTAAAACAATAGTTAATTATTCAACGATTTAAACTTATTTCCTAGAAAGACTGAAGTTATTCAAGTGCGAAAATACGGACGTGAGATAATTCATCTAACAAGTCAAAGAATATTTCTCAAATTGCTTTCATCGAGGAATAGCAGGCATGTATCTTGAGTTGAATATAACGACTTGCTTGCTACCGAAAGCTTCATATTAAAGCGAATAAATCTCAATAAAAAACACAACAGGTCTTTCTTTTGTTGAAATTACTACATGAAAATTTATTGTCGAGAAAATTATTTGCTACGAGTCCACGTCCTAAAAAATTACCATTTGATATAGTTACTTATCTGGTCCACAACGAGGTTTGCAAGTTGACCGGCTATAGAGCGTGAAATGAGATGGGCTTATTTTTGTTTAAATGAAAGAAAACTAATTTTCTTTCCTTTCTTCTCAACGCTTGAATGCGTTTTGTGTAATTAATGCAGACAGTACCCTTATGTAATGGAAAATGGCTACAAAAGAAAGTCATGCCAGAAAAGAAAACCGGAAATTTTCGCTCAAAATGAAAACCAAGGGAAAATATCAGGGTCAGTTTCCCTCCATAACTGCACTGACCAATCATGTGCAACTACAATTTTCCCGCGAACGAGGCAGCGAAGTAATGTCTGGAATGTTGCACTTGCGCAGTGCTTAACTATTAGCCACGTGGTTAATGATTGGCCAATCAGAAGGCAAAATTAAACCCCACCGCGAAGATCGTTTGTCAGGGCCTGAAGTCGGTGCAAAAACATGTCCGCTCAAGCGAGGAATTGAGAAATTATAGCTTGATTTCTGCCAAACTAGCCCTAAAAACATGCCTCGTTAAGCAATCTTGCGATAGATATTACATTTCTTCGTACTTTCCGAGCGATCGCGTTGAAATCAGACCGAGATCAAGTTCGCGATTTCGACGAGTTTGTCTCGCATCCCAGCCACATAGTCTTTGCGCAAATTGGAGTACACGAATCACCCATGCGATCTTTTCGAGCTGTAGTGAGAGGTATAACGTCAATTTAGATTGTACCGATGTCGAATCCAGCAGCCACACTCACAAGCTTGTGGATAGAAGGTTTGTACCTTCCGATTTTCTTTAACACACGTGTTTATTTTTTTTCGTTGTGAAACAAGTTCCTGCGTTCTTCTCTCCTTAAGCCAGGTTAGAATTTCTCAAACTCACTTCAGAACTAATGCATTGCTTAACATCGATTTCATTGAGAACCTTGTAACTTAAAGAATGTATTTTTTCGTCAATTGTGCCAACTCATCAGGCTCAAGGAACGCTTTCCTTTAGTTAAAATAAATTGTTATCCTTTTCTGATGAAAGCTCTTGAATATTCAAATCGCTTGTAGGTCAACCAAGCCCTGTGAAGAGTAACCCAGCTACTCCAGTGAAAGGAGTTGTGAATCGGGACGCTACAGTGGTTTCAGAAGACTTCTTAAAGTTTTACAAAGATAGTGGACTTGAACCTTTAGCCCGAGAGGTAGGAAAAAGTTACCCTCAATCACCTCGTGACTTCGTTACACTCATGCTATGGCGATTAATATGGTTCGGTACTCGACGAACAGTATAAATCTAAACATCTTCACATTTATCCGCGATGGCTTCTAACATCGCAATTTATAATTCATGATATATTTCTTAAGCTCTTCTTGCAAATGACACTTCTAGTTCACCCTCAGTTCGCTTTCAGACCGAGAGTCATTGCATACGAGAGTTCACTGCATCACTTTCATTCTTTGTCTGCGCGATTTGAGTGATTTGCAAGCACAACTTTGAGATCGAGCTTTCGTTTTTCACCAGCATAGTTCCCCATCAAATCGCAGCTCAGACACTAATCTTTTCTTCTTTTCCTTCTTTATTTTGACTGTTAGGCTGGCGTGATAGACAACAACGGAACACTAGACGGACTGAAAGATTCCACCTCTCATCCAAGAGTCAATTGTTAGTTTTGCGATATTTGTTTGCTTTTGGATTTTGGGTTTGATTTAGGACACTCAAATGCAAATACATTTTTTTTTCGAACAT